ACTTTTATCTATACTGAAAATCTTTATCTACCATATTTCTGCAAATACAGATGATTATGATTATATTCACCATCGACATCAAAACATTTGACATTTTATAGTTATTAAATATATCATTAATGTAGTTTTATTGCTAGACGTGTTTTACATAAGCATGTCAGGTATAAGCTTGTAAGTATATTATCAAAATATATTTAAAGTAACAAGTAAAGTTTGAAGCCCTCAACGGTGCTGCGACAATTATCTTTTAAAACGGAGTTATCTTCGCGCAACCTAATCGGTTATAAATGTGCTAAATCTTAAATGCTTAGAGATAAATGCGAGCTGGAATTGAATACAGTGTGAATACAGCTTAGGATACACCGAGCAACACAATTATTACGTAAACTACTCGGCTGTTTGGAAACAGCGCCTTTTGCTCTGACTCAAATTAAATTCGCAACAATTTGCAACATTGTACCTTACTTTGTTGCTGCGATAGCTCAGTGTCCGGACGCTCGCCTTTAATTACCTTTACTCGAGCAACCTGAGTTCGATCCCCGGTGCCGGCACCAACGAAATTGTTAATTTTAAGTGCTGAATCATCACGTGCTCGGCGGTGAAGGAAATCATCGTGAGGAGACCTGCATATTTTTGAAATAATAATAAAAAAATGTCTCCAAAGTATCCGCAGTGAGGTCGCGTAGTGGACTATGCCCTGATACCCTTTACGGAGGAGACATTTGCCCCAGTTGTGGGGCATTTATAGGCTGTTAATTTACTTTTTTTTATATTGTTCGTCTTAGTGTCCCAATTACTGAAGAAATATGATGTTGTGAATGGCTAAATTATTATGATGTTTTGATTTGCTTAGTCGTTAATCGTTATATGTCTGTAGGTTTCTTTAGGGTTCCGTATTCAAAGGGTAAAACGGGTCTCTATTACTAAGACTCCGGTGTCTGTCTATCTGTCAGTATGTCCGTCTGTACCTCATGAATCGTGATAGTTAGTCAGTTGAAATTTTCACAGATGATGTATTTGTATTGCCGCTATAACAACAAATACTAAAAAATGGAATACCACTACTGCACAACAAGATAATATTAGCATGTTCTGCGTAGATCAACACAAAAATTTAAAATTTAAAAAATTGGCGTTAACAACAATGACATTGAGACGTCCATCGCTTCAGTCTGCCCCGTGACCATGAACACTGTAAAGGGCTCGAAGCGTGGGGTATTAAAACAAAAATAAACGCGATAAATCCGTAAACATAATTCCATTTAGTAAACCTATAATTTAAACAAACTCTTCACAAATCACGTTGGAATAAGCAACGTGAGAGATAAAACACCAATGTGTCCGAGTACTGTCGATAAATGATATATATATATATATATATATATATATTGATTACAGGATCCCGACCCTACGCAAATACTTTAAAAAGAAAACCGACCGGTTCATGAAAAGAGCTGAACCCTGGCTGTAATGCTCATGTACCCGATCGGGATCGGGGAGATGGGTACGGGATCCACCGGGGGTCTCGCTAGACCCCACACAGCCACCGATTATACATAGCCATACAGTCCACGGCCATTGGGTCACGGTCCGTACCGAATCTCAATGGCTTGTAGGTGACATTCCTTCCTACTAGATAACGCTCCCACGAACACATGCTCGACCCTAACCAGCGAGTAGGGCCACTACCGACTACAAAATTTATCAAAAGTTAAGAAGTAATACCTCTCGCGACTTTCAGTTGAATAGTACTGGCCTAAGATATAAACCACGACATTGAGGTCCTGACGTTCAAGCTACTAGGTCATTATTGCTATTAAGCATTCAAATGATATAATGTTGAACACAATAAGTATTACTCTCCACACCAAGTCAGATCACGTGTGAAATAATACATATAAAATGCAATAACGTAATATCTTTTGTCAATTTGTTCAGAATTATGGTGATTTTATGCGCTTCTGTTTGGTATTTATTGCCCACGCCGGCTTTGAGGAAGTCCGATGGAAAATCCACAGTGACTATAAAATAACGCCATAGTCATTTGTTGTTCCATTGATAAATATCACTTCAGTCTTAGATTGTGGTTAGATGGTGGAATAAATTGCGTAGGGTTGCATGTATCATTGAAAATTATCTAACTATGAAATGGGATACATTCGTTACATTTCTATTTTCAATCATGTATGGTTTATTTACAAACAAAGAAAATTCAAATTGAACACTAGTTCAAATTACCTTACTATTTCTTTTTAAACTTAAAAGATCATCTATATATCGTAGACATGTTTAAGTCAATCTATGGGTGTTTATTTCCATAGATTACGTTAGTTCCACAATTCAACACTATTACAAAACCGAAATTTTTATTAAATTAAATTTACTTCATTTTAAAGTTTAATCCTATTTGAAAAAATGTTCATAAACTTATGTAAATAAAATGTACGTAGATTAAAATAAAATACTAATTGTTGTTCTATTCGTATAATAAAAGAACAAAACGGTTCAACTAAATTAATATAAACATAATACTCTTTACATCATCATAATTGCTTTTTCACGTAATTTTTCTATGTAACTCGCACCTCTACGTTCCATTTCACAAAGCTTTCATGCATTCCGTTATTTTCCCATCCCGCATTTGAAAATCGCAGACGTTGAAGGTAAAAAGGTAATTTGATTAAAATACAAGTATTCGAATCGGCTATACATGCATATAGAAGGGATTCGAGATCATCTAGTAAAAACGTCGTTATAGAAATTAACCAAAAACGAATCCATATTACTCAATTCCGCCAACCGCTTCCAAAAAATGTCATCGACTAACTTTAAAACTCTTCGCACTCCTTTAAGAAGCGCCATCTCGGTTACTATTGTTAAGTTCTGTATCTTATCAAAATCAAAAATCAAAATCAAAAATATATTTATTCAAATAGACGCTTGCGCGCTCTTATGAATCGTCAAATTTTTGCATCAAAGATTATGTGTATAGGTTCGTAAGGTACCACCGGTTCGCAAAGCGGTTTCTGTTGAGAAGAGACCGGCAAGAAACTCAACAGTTGCTCTTTTTCAAAAATATCAGGGTACAATATAATATACAGGTATAATGGTCTCATTCTAGCCTACGTGAGTATCAACAGTATTAACTCCACACATTGGCGTCGTCGAGATATTCTGAAATGGTATAATATGCTTTAATCATCAGTTGATTTTTAATTTTACATTTAAATTGGTCAAGCGGCAGACTTAATATCGACTGTGGGATTTTATTATACATGCGCACATTTTGCCCCATGAACGACTTATTTACTTTTTGTAGACGAAACAATGGCGTAGTAAGTTTGTCCTTATTTCTAGTGTTTATTTTATGTCTGTCACTATTCTTTAGGTAATAATTAAGGTTATGACGTATATACAAAACATTACATTACACGCTACTATTAGACTATTTACTACTCAAAGCAGTCATTTTAAAAACACTAGTTAGGTATAGAAAAATATTCAGGACTAATTGCTTGTAGGTAATAACGTTTTGAACCCACAATCCTCCCGAAAACCCTAGTGCAGTAATAAAACTTATAAGAAGTGTTTATGGTTAAAGCTTATTGAATAAGAACGACAGTTGGAAGTACGTATACTCGTACATAGATTAATCTATGAGGTCGACATATATGGCATATACCGTCCTTGCAGGAAAAATACATAATTATACTTACAACAATAGAATTTGTCATATGTCTTAATGTATATATCTTAATATTGAGGTAACATATGATCAAAATCATAATCTTTTAGATATATAAGGCAGTGAAAAATGTAAGGTGTCAGGCTTAAATGAAAATCACCCTGCCAGACGTCGGTCGATGGTCGCATAAGCATTAAGCAATCTTCCATAGCGATGAATAATACGAAAATATTTTTTTAAAAATAAATAGCGTATGCCGTTTTAAATAAATGAATGCAGATATAAACTAATAGTTTAAAAATTCCAGTACATGTCAAATAAAATACAGATGGTTTTCCTAAGAGTTTCCAGAAAATAGAATTTTGATTATTGTTTCGTAAAATATTTACAACCGTCAAGCGTTCATAATTTTTTGCCATGTGTCTTGTCGTTAAAAGTGACGAAGTTTTTTTTAGAAAAACACAATTCGGTGACATAAACATATTATTTTAGACCAGTTATGAAAATGTGCGCGTTTTTTTTAAAATAAACGAGGAAAACAAGAGATACCAGATATAATATTTTGCATGTATGCTAATAAATACAGCGAATGCTAAATTTGTAGCAAAAAGATCTATCAAAAGATAAATACTCATTTATTACATTGTACAACTATTGCTTACAGGATGACCTATAACTTAGTTTTCATCCTCAATTCTCTAACAGATAACATAATTCGTTATCGATGCCTTTTGTTATAACTACTACATTTCCCTAATTCTCCTTTTAATCTATATTAATCTACTTTTAAACTTTATATAAGTACTAAAGAATATATCGCGAGTCCTGAAAAAGGAAGTTCAAATCGTTTTTTAGATAATTTATGAATACATATAAGGACAGTCCAGAAAAATAAATACATTTGTTTTAAAACTTAAGTTCTGTATTGATAAATAGTATACTATAATTATTTAATTCAGTACCTACATGTTTCAGGCATGGTTGCCTTAAATTACTGGTACCAAGTGAAATCATTACATTAAAAATAAAGATTTTCCGCTGTACGTATGTATATAAATAAAATACAGAAGCAAGTGTCATAGTTTAATTCCTCATAGAGAAGTATACAGTTAAAGGACAAATTGCAAATAAGTCATGTGAAGCAGTGTCTATAATTTGAAGAATAATAGTGAGCAATAGAAAATTCGCTATAATTTAAAAGTAAATCTTTGCCACATTATTTTAATGGAGTGTTCTTAATAGATTTTTTAAAATCGAAGTACTTCTCACTGGGGCAACTGTTACGAAAGCCAAGGCCATGTGTGTCTCAACTCACCCCAAGGTCAGCCGAAGGTCACGCGCCGCGGACTGGCTTAAATGGTACCGTTGCTCGTCCACTACTGAGAGCCGCGCCGGCGCAGCGGAGCGATTTCACAACCCTGGTGTAGTGGTGTCTTAATATTTCGCAGCGATTGTACCATGGTAAAGGTAAGTCCAAGCGAAACTTTAACAACATAGACATGAATCAATTTAGAAGGCCTTTATAATTTTTTTAAGATACTCGTGTAAACGAGCATATCTATAAGAAAGTACATTAATCTATGATTATTTTTGGCGTAGAAACAAAAACACGACTTGCCTTGAGTAGAAAGAGAAATACTATCGATATATAACTTTGTAGTAGTAATAAATTAAGAAAAGTTTTAATATAGTTGACTATTGACACAGTGAACTTAGTTTATATATACAGAAAAGTCAATACTTGAAGTAATACTTTGCTAGCTGGTATGTTAGTTGCTTATGCTAAAGCAACACTTAGAACTGCAATTGAGCTTGCTTAAGTTTTGTTTAGTATTATTCTGGAAACATATTCATCGTTACTTTATGCACCAAATCTTTGTCTTCTTCGTCCCGAAGTTTCCTCTCTTCGAGAGGCCAATTTCGTGTCATCATTTCATGTCATGTTGTGCCAACTTAAATTTTGCGTAATATGTCATTTAGGTCGGCGTTTGCATCAAAAGCCTCTGGTTTATTTTCTACTTTATTTAGGGACTTAAGAACATCATAATTTTATGCTCACGTTGAACGATTTATTTTAAATTTTAATATGATGGGATCATACCGAAAGTATTAAAAACTGGTTTTATTTTATGTAGAAATGGAAATATTTCGCTTTATAGTATGAAATAAAATAATATGAATAAAATAAAAATCTACGAGAACTGTTTTTGATTATTTAAAAATTAGAAGTTAATTGAAAGATTTAGAAAAGTAAAACAGTTACATTAATTAAAATAAAAGCGGATTAGGATAAAATTCAAGTAATATTTTATCTAAAGGAAATTATTTGTTCTCACCAATCGCGATGGTCACGACTTGTTGCAAACAATTTTTATTTTCTTTTTGTTGCTTGTGAATTTCAATTTTTTATTTATTGATTAGATTTTTTTTTATTAAATCTTGCAGATATAACTTGGACTTGGAAACATACTGTTCGCGATGGTCACGACTTGTTGCAAACAATTTTTATTTTCTTTTTGTTGCTTGTGAATTTCAATTTTTTATTTATTGATTAGATTTTTTTTTATTAAATCTTGCAGATATAACTTGGACTTGGAAACATACTGTTAGGATCTGGATTAGTAAAATTGACTAAGCTAATGCCGAGAAATTTAATGAAGTCAATTGTTTTGGTAAAGTCCCAAATTTTCTTAGGATTAATTTTTATTTCTAATGATGTTTGGAATCAATATAAAATGTGAATATTCGATCGAACCTGCATCTTCTGAACGAGTTACCCAAAATGTAAAAACAAACTATGGTTTTGGATAAATAACTAATTAGATTAATATAAGTGATTACTTTTTCAAAATGTAGGTGAATGAGGATATCAAAGACAAAATATAACATAAGTTATAATAATTGTAGTACCTAAAACTAAAAGAATAGAATAAACTAACTTTACTTTCTGTAATTCTACACTAAAATACGCTGCAGGTTTTAAAAATAACATTATAGACATTAGTCGAGATGATGGAACAAAGATAAGTGAATGTCATCATGCAGTTAACATTATGCTGGGAAGTGAAATAGGTAAAGAGCTTACTCCATACAAATGATCATAGATCCATAGGTATTTCAAATAATGGTTAAGTAAACTGGTAGAGCATACAAGAAGGATCACAGTTGGCACACAGAAAATGATCGCTGACATTAGGAACGTCCACACATAGGAATTTTCGTAAGACATCGGGTAATGGTTACCATATGAAATAACTTGTGACGGTGTTATTTATGATAAAGAAGAAAGTAGTTTTATTACAATAAGCGAATAATTGTACGAATTTTACTGTACTTTGATTCTAGAGGTTTCGGAAACTTTGATAAAAATTATATTAAAATGACGTAGTTACAATTACGTTATTTGGGTAGGAGTTAAATATTTATCATCTGTTTTACTAAAGTACTATACTACAATGAGATATGTACCTTTGAAATTATTCAACACAATATTAGGTATTTTCAATATTTATTCAGCTCAAATTATTGAGGATAGGAAGAATTTATTGTAAAACTTTGGCAAGCATTTTTTATTGTTTCGGTTTACATCTATGTTACCTGAACCTGGCGATTGTAACCGGTGATACAATCTGGAAATGAAGAATTACTTGCATCTGCACCTAATAAAATATTTTAGTTTTTTTAACTTATTCCATATTACGAATCTATTACAACAAATTTATAGGCAAGAAACAAGGAAACGAGAACGCTTGGTTCGTCGCTTATCTATCGTAAGTAACTTCTTGCTTAGGGTCCACTATTGCAACGTTGCATGGAGGATCAGCGACCCGTGAAAATTGACGCAATTTTCCAGTAATACGACTCCATCTGAATAAATCTTCATGTTGCTAAACCTATCATCCAAGGCAACACGATGAAAATTTGAAATTCACCTATTGATTTCTTGATTTTGATTTCATATTATAAATATTTATTGAAACTAAGTTTTGAATTTTGTATCGCGTTTTTATTATTTCGTTATGCCCCTTTTGCGTATATTGGAATAAAAGTTAATAAAAAATATTTGACGGCAGCCCGGGTTAACTTTGACTTCAAGACGTGTAACAACTTAGTCTGTCCAGTTACCATGAACGCTGGAAAGGGTTCGAAACGTCCGAATTAAATCATAATTAAATCGTGATATAATCCGTAAACTAGTTTCATTGACGACCCGATTTGCGTGGGAGTAATGACCTTGCCTCTTGCGCCAGAGGGTGTAGTTCGATCTCCACTACTGGAAAAATATTATGTGATGAACATCGTGTTTCTCCAGTGTCTGGGTGTTTTATACATGTATAATATGTATTTATTTACAAAAGAAAAGTATGTTTATGTATGTTTATCAGTTTTCTAGTACACATAGTACAAGCGTTGCTTAGTTTGGGACTAGAGAACGTTGTGTAAAAAATGTGTCCGAATATATTTATTATTTGTTATTTGATATGTTAAAACTCGCTTTTGTCAAAAATATATTCATAGATAAAAATAGGCTTTGTTATTTCAAATAATTGAAAACACAGTATAAATAAGACAATAACCGAAGAAAGCGAAGACAGTTCTTTTCCATTGGTTTGAACCTTTGATTCTATATTTTTACTACGTTTACTTATGTTCTGCGTGGCACGCAGTAAATACGCCATCTTGATGTTTGGATGGATGTCCGTTTTGTATTTTCGATAATTTTTCTGCAAACATGACGTTGTGGAATCTATTTTTCATTTTCCTAAAATAGTCTTAAAGACAAGGACAGGACCCGTTTTCTTTTGTAAGGCTGTTACCGCCTCTGTAGTCGTAGGCGGTGAGCCATTTCCTTGATTGACATCTCCTGTATAAAAAAAGTGAATAGATTAGTACTTGCGCCAAGCGAGACATAAATTTATCTAATCACATATGTATAAGCCTTAAAAGAAATAATATAATTCAAGTTAAAAAGTGCGTCACGCCTATCCTTTGCAAAATAGCACAGTCAGTTACATAAGTATCTTAGTGGTCTGCGTCTCAAATTTTAGAATTTCGAAATGAGAGCAGACTTGCTAATGACTTATATTGTACCAAATCAACGATTGTGTTATTTGAAGTGACGTATTTTCTTATATATACACTAGTCGCTGTGGAAAATTTAGCTGGATAGTGATAAATGAAAATGTTATGAGTGGTTTTAATGTAAATGTTAAACCTTACAGACTTACCAAAAATAACATACCTATATCAGTTGGTAAACATGAATCATTTAGGAAGTGTGATTTTTGTCTAATGCTATCTAAGAAACTAGCGAAGAATCAGTAGACTACTAAAAGACCTTGACAAAATGTCAAGGTCTTTTAGTAGTCTACCTATATATTGACCGCGGCAAAATTAAGAAAGATAAGTAGTAAATTAACATGAAAGTGAAGCACCGTACGATCTTTGTATGTAAGTGATACCACATGAATAAGAACTTGTAATATTTTTTATTATTTTGCCAGTTCATTTTTCGTGTTATAAAAATCGTTTGCATCTATATTTATAGAACGAGTACATATGTCAAGCGTTTTTGGATGGAATCCAATGGTCTTCACCTTTGCAGCTTCTTATAAATTTCATCCAATCATTGTTCAATTAAAGTAATCTTAATCAATTCTTGCAAATAATTATAAAGAACACAATAAACAATAGAAAAAAAGTACTCATTTATTTTCTGCCAATACTTATACATGCGTTACGGTTTTGTTTTCCACCCGTAATGATTTTAAGATATCACAAATATAATATTGATTGGGGAAAAAGTCTTTTCGCAAATAGTATGTACATACTTATAATATAATCTCTTTGGCTATACTATTTGTATCTGGCTGGTTTTGGTATCATTAAAAAGTTTAAATTTAAAAAAAGATAATTCGAAATTCAAATTAGGAAAATGTGTGATTTTCATTTGTTTTTCTTACTGTTAAGATGAGTGATTCTAATGAAGAAATTCGATACTAAAAAGGTAGAAATGCAATGCAAGCCGCGAAAAAAAATTGTGATATTTTTTATATTAGTGAGCGTTTTAAATCCGGAACTTTTGATGTCAAAGATGCACCTCGCTCTGGGCGCCCTGTTACGGATAAAATGGATGCCAATTTTGAAAAAGTGGAGCAAGATCAGTATATCAGTAGTTACGATGTAGCTGAAGAACTGGGAATTGACCACAAAATAGTTTTGGCGCATTTGAAAAAAGCTGGGTACATATAAAAGCTCGATATTTGGGTGCCTCATGAGCTCACTGAAAGAAACCTGATGAACCGTGCACTCATTTGTGATTCTTTATTACGACGTAATGAAACCGAACCATTTTTGAAAAACCTGATAACTGGTGATGAAAAGTGGATCACGTACGACAAGAACGTGTGAAAAAGGTCGTGGTCAAAGGCTGGTCAGGCTTCACAAACTCTGGCAAAACCCGGGTTATCTCGCAACAAGGTAATGCTGTGTGCAAATGTGCGGGAAGTCGATGGATGCAGGTGGCTCAGGATCGTACTTCGTGGCAGTCTATGGGGGAGGCCTATGTTCAGCAGTGGACTCAAACAGGCTGAAATGATGATGATGATGATGATATGATTATTAGTTTTGTGTCCGATCTAAGCAGACTGTGCAAGGACCACACAGCACGTTCTGGTGTTGTACAATTGGGTAGGCTCGTCCGGGGAAGTACCACAGCACCATAAAAGATCGGCCTGCTGTGGAAGTATTAGGCTTCCGTGTTACCTCTGGTGATTGAATATTTAATAGTAGGCAATCTTGGCATCCTTGAGGTGTTGTAGATGTCTATGGGTTGCAGTAATCGCCTAATTCAACCGCATGGTCGCTTGTCAAGTTTTCACATAAAAAGTGACAATAATTGTCTTGCACTGGTGGTGTTTTGAGTTTTTAGTTCGGTTTAGATTAAGTTTTATAAATCAAAGGATTCTAAGCTATCAGTCCTATTCTGTATTAAAATTTGAATGTTTTTTTTTAATTTCCACAGTCTCCCAATTCAACTCGCAACTATGGCTGGTCACGAAGCTCCTTTTAATGTAGAATATGCTGGACATTTTGTAGCTAAGCGGTCAGGTATTCCTTGTCACAGGTCATTTTGTTCTCTTAATAAAAGATTTACCCACGGTAGCTAACTGGGACGCATGGTGATGAGAAACACCATTTAAACATGGTTTTGCAAGAGTAGTTCTCTGATTATAATGTGGCTCAAGGTTTTATTAGTATTGCGAATAATTATAGTATCTAGAAACGCTAGAGAGTTACAACTGTCTGATTTCATAGTAAACTTTTTTTGTAATTCAGAGATTTAACGTTTTGTAAAGACGATAAGTTTATTTGATTTTAAAAAAGAATAAAAGAGAGAAATGCCATTGGCATTCTCTTCAGAGTTTTCCCATAAATATCTCAACAACAATGACGAATACTGCGCAAGTCATTGCTAACCGGTCCTCCTTTTTTTTGTTAACGTGAGGGAAATGCCTACGCATACCCGCCCTCGCGGGGGCAAGAGCGGGTTATGTCAGACTCGCACCAACTAAAACCCACGGTGTTTTTTACCATGCGCCTAGGTAGAAAACATCGCGGGGGTTACGGGAACGCTGTCGCACACTTCAGTGACCCTGCCAGCGCAGGACGCCTTAGCAGCCTCGTCTCGGGGAGCAATTCCCCTCTCCTCCAGGTAAGATGCGCTGGAACATTCATCACCCCTTACTACTCGGCCCCTTATGTAGCGCTCCTCCTTCCATAATGCATATTCGTAAGTTATTTAATAATTGCTTTTTTAATAACTTAGTTAGAATTGATATTTAATCTTACTTTAAAAAAGATTTAGATGTTATCTCACTCACAAAGTTGTAAGAATAAATTGTCTACGCCTCTTTATGTCTTCTTGGTAATGGGATGATTTTTATTATTATACATGTATATTTGATATTAAACTGGTTTTAACAATTTACAATTGGTTATTCGTTCGGGCAATCAATAGAAATGAAAACTTTTTACGAGTTTTGGTTATTGCTAAAAAGAATAAATAGTGGCTGGAATCGCTATGCTATTATATCACATAGAATACGAACCGCTTACGATATGCGCATATGACTTTCGGTATACATAATGATTGTCTTGGTTTTTCTTTCTGTACGATGATTACATTCATCTTTATTTAATTGAAATGACACTGACTCCAAAATAACAATAAGTGTAATCTACATTATGTTACCATAAATATACTAAATACATACTATAAACATAAACATATATATATATATACAGATGCTTACGTAAATACAAAGGATAACGTAGGTAACTCTAACAATCGGCAGAATAGCCATAGTGACATCGCAGCATTTTCTTAAATTATGCCTTACTGCTTGCATTTCTAATGTACCTACTGAGGCAAGGAGTTCCAAAGTAGTATAGCTTGAATAGTAAAAGATTTATGAAGAAGCTTTCGGCTTCTTCATAAATCTTTTACTATGCGGATGCGTCGGAGTACAAAGTATTCTAGTGACAGAAGAGCGAAGTGCTCTATCGTGAGTTTGTGAGACATATTGGAATTTTTCCTTTAAGTAACTAGGAGAAGCGGGGTCGTTAAGAATAGAATAGAGAAAAAGAAGAATTCTTGGTTTAGATCCGAGCAAGAGACATCTGCATAATCCAAAATGGGTAAGACAAGGGAATTGACAAGCGTAAGTATGGTTTGGAGTGGCAGAAAGTATTTTAAATATTTTAAAAAATTCATTAAACCATTGTTATAGAATTTACACAATTACCAAAGTCAGTGATGAATTACCTAGTGGTTGAGACATCGCAGGTTTGAAAACTCAAAGTTGCGAATGTTTCCATTATCTTTGCCTGCTGAATCCTAACCCAAATTCTTAAATGCAAAAGACTGTCTCGAATTTACCCCTATTGGCTTTGTAGTTAAAACACGTAAGAAATTAAATAAAATCATAAAGATACAATAGAGGAATTACTATTATGAAGCTTTTAATGAACTCGACAGAAACCCCAAGAAGATGTGGAAGTCAATTAATATTCTTGCAAAAAATAAAATCGAAAATAGTTGTGCTCCCCCTAAATTATTTTTTGAAAATAAGACTGTACAAGATGGCAATGATATCTGTAATTTAATAAATACTTTGCAACCATTGATTCTATATTAGCCCAAAAAATCCAATCAAATCAACTTAACCTCAATACACTTTTTTCTGGTAATATCTACACTACCGTACTACCTACACTACAACTATGCACAAAGAATGAAATTATAAATTTATAGAAAACCTGGACAATAACACAGGCAGTGGTTTAGACTGAATTACCTCCAAAGCAGTTAAATGTATTAAAAACCTAATCGCAGTTAGTCTAGGAAACTGTATTAATAAATGTCTCGATGAAAGTGTGTTCCCGGATAACCTCAAGATTGCTAAGGTAACCCCTATACATAAATCGGGACCTAAATCTGATGCTAGCAACTACCGCCCTATTTCTGTGCTCCCTGTCATATCAAAAATATTTGAAAGGGTACTATACAGTCGCCTATTTAAATACCTGAATGAAATAGACTTCCTTTATGAACGTCAATATGGATTTCGGCCACGTTCAAATACATTATCGGCAACTATTGATTTAGTGACTAAGA